ATTAATAAATATTTTATCACTAATTAAATAACAAAACTGTAACTGACAAATACTACTATTAAATGTTGTGGTTGACTAGTGTACTTTTTAAACAAAACAGTAAATAAATACTTAAAACTAATCAAGTGAAATCAATAAGAACATTTCTATAGGTGAATCAATTAAATGTTAGGAATGTTAAGTGCTGAAAAACTGATATTCAATGATCAGATTCTAACTCATAATTATACATATGGAATCGAACATCTCTGCTTTTGTAAAATAAAAGCTACCAATTTCGGGATTATTTATTACATTATTATGTAAACTAGGTTACCTAGTTATAGCTTCATTTGTATCATTCCAATGCTGCATGATAAGCTATTGACTGTTTGAAAATAACCTAGACTAAATTAACTACTTTTATGAATTCGGTGTTCATTACGTTGTGCTAACAAGGTATAGCAACTTGAACCGATGCATATATGTACATGGTCCTACGTTGTATCTTACTGACTGACTGAGACTATAATCTTTATCGGATAAAAATGATTAAACAATAATCCAGCTTTTCAAAATTTTTTATCTAAATAAATATTAATTGATTTCAAGTAAAAAATTGGTTGTCAATTGCGTTTAGCAAATACCCTAAATACTTATTGGTGATTATTATTATGAAACATACCTCATGATATATTTTGATTTGATGGATACAGCGATACAAAAATGTGGTTGTATATTAGTAAATTATTCATAGAGTTATAGGTGATACCAACTCTGAATAATTGTTTCATTCGATTACATTTTTGTTTGTTTAATTGTCTTTAGTAAAAGTGTTTGATTCAGATACTTCTGTTTTATTTCCACAACCGTTCAGTCACAACGCAAATAAAATGAATCCGTTTTTGGGTGAACTAAAGTTGTCAATGATAATTTATGTGAGATAAATCGATTCATATATCCTTTTACACTCAGCACTGAAATCTGCAGTAAAATTCGTTTTGATGAATGACCAGTAAAGATAAAACTCAAATTTTGCATTTCCAAAGTTGGCCACAGATATGAAACTATTATTCAGTCTAATTCAACAAATAAACACACGAATTTCTGACAAAAGTTAGGTAGGGCTAAGTGACTGGATGAGAAGTCGAGATACATGTCAACTTCAGAGAACATTTACGAATAACAACTATTTTTCAGTAGGTTATGAAATAAACTTAATCGGGGTGCCATTTATGACAAAGGATTAGTGGACGCCTGTTTCGATCTATGAGTCAAGTAAAAAGCGCTCTCTAGAAACGCATCTGCTTTCTGTAGGATGTTAAGAGAAAGACATATGAGACAAGAGTTCAAAAGACCATTTTGGTTAAAAGAAATTCTCTCTTGTCCCACTAGTGATTGATGACAGCAAATATTAAGATTCATTCAGTTGCTCAATGATGTTCTACATTCATGACCAAAATCTTATTTTTGCTGTATGTCTTTACTATAAATCATATAAATAAATCTCCTAATGACTTTAATACACAACAAAACCAAGTTACTTAGAAACACTATTATTTATTTTATTATTAGTCTAGGTATTTAGTTTTCAGATTTAGAATGTAGCTGTTGAAACCAAATGTTAAAATGTTCTTATTTTACATAGTGTATTCTATTATTACTTTAAAAATAAACAGATATAACTTAGAAAACAAAAATAAGCACATTTTTAAAGCCTTTAAAACATTCGTTACTTAGTACATGTGAAGCGGCTTAGAGGATCATTTATTTAGAAACTTTTAGTGCTGTGATGAATACTCTTGAAAATTATCTTATTGTACAAGTAATGAATTATTCTCAAAATCGAATTTGATGGTCACTTTTACTTCATACATTAATAGGTCAGATTTATTGTGATCTCCCTCATTCCTTTTAACGTACCAATTAGGTGTTTTAATATTATATTATATCTTTCATATTTTATATATGAATTTTAGTTTTTTGAATTGGCGAATGATCTAATGTTACCTAAAATCATGTCAATTTTGTCTTTCACGATATTTTATTGATTCAGTTTATAACAAACGTGAGTTAGAAAGAACTTGTACTTACTTGTTTCTATGTAGCTTATTTATTATAAAAACTTTTTATCGACTTCATTTGATACAAGACAAAATTTTTTTAAAAAGTCCAATAATAATTTTTTCAGCATTTTTACAACATAACGTAAATGACATTTAAATGGTCAATTATTCTTCTTTTTTTAATAGACAAACATGAAAATCCTTTTTTTTTACTTTTATAATCACTTCATATATATTCCTAGTTTACATCTTATCTATATTGTAGATATAAATAGAATTTAACAATGTAACATTGTTCACTTAAAAAGAAAAAGAGAAGGAAAAGATAGAGTGAAATATTTTTTAAGTGACTCTCCTTTTATCTTTATAAATCCATTTCCTTGTTTTACTAAAATCTACATTAAATTCATAAATTTATAAATTTACTTTTAATCATGATGTGGCGTTGGCTACTTATATCCACATATGTAGTATATAATGGCGGTTAGGCATTGAGTTTATTTCAGTAGAAGATCGAAAAGATAAGAACAGCAATTGATATGAAAATGCATGAACAACAACAATCAATGATGATTGACTGATATTTGCAGAAGGAACGGTCAAGATTGAAATAATTCATTGATAATTTACAAATTGATTGTTTATTGTATGGTTGTCAGATTTTAGTGAAATAGTCTGTAATATTTTGCTCAGATACATTCGATTGTCTCAACTCGTGTTCTTATTCACTACAATGGTATTTTGTTTTATGCACAATTTAGAGTGAATGCTAAATAATAATCATGTATTCTAAATTAAATTTTATTCACCTTTCTATCATTTTTGTTGAATTTTTATTTTTAATAATAAAATTTAAGTTAAATATAGATGTGTACAGAAGAAATTTGTAACCCTCCTATCCCTTTCATGGTCGGACATAACTTAACAAATGACATTATTATTATTTTTTAAAATTTTTTAAAAATGTTATCATTTATTCAGTATTGTTTGTTTGAATCTTCCCATTGATGTTAAGGACTGCAACTGGTCAGTCTCTAATTGGCATATGTGCATACTGTGCGTATTGCCTCGATATAGCCTTAATTCACAAGCATGGTAAGCAGAGATGGATAGTGGCTAGCAGTGGAATCCAGTTTGACGCGCGTTTCGTCCTACTTCAGACTCGTCATCTGGATGTACCTGCATCTGAGTTGATGTTCACTCTGGGACTCGAACCTAGTACCCTCGATTCAAACGTCATCGCGTTATCCACTCGGCCACTGAGTTCTGATAGCCACTTGCCTGTGCGACTAGAGACTGATTAGTTGCAGTCCTAACAAATAGATGGGAAGATTCAAACAAAAAAAAATGAATGAATGAAAAACTTCACCCCATCGCACAAGCAAGTGGCTATCAGGACTCAGTGGCCGAGTGGGTAACGCGATGGCGTTTGAAGTGAGGGTTCTGGGTTCGAGTCCCAGAGTGAACAACAGCTCCAGTTATCATTTGTTTGTAATTTTCCACCTCTTTCCGTTTATATTTTTCACTATCTAATTATTTACATACTTCTTATTACGTAATGATTCTAATGTTTTGTGATTACTATTTTAAATCTATTTACTCACATTTGACCTACTATTTCCTATGTTTAACTATTGATAAAACTTTTAATATTCTTACCACCATCAGTACACCTGTCTTCCCACTAACAACTTGTACTTTTACCTATTATGCTTGGTGATTTATTCTATTGCATTGTGATTATTGACTCAAAGTCTTGATTGGTCTAACATTTTCGTATAAATATTCATGTATGTTAGAGTAAATCCTGATGACGATCTAAATGAAAACAATTGTTCGCTTACATGTGTTGTTCCAAATATAGATATGTAGAATTTTGAAAATGATGGTTTGTCTTTCGAAAAAAGAAAGTACTTGAATTTAGAGAAAAAATAGTAGTGTTTTTAACACGATATAAATGAAATAATAATTTGGATAGGAAAACATTTCATATAATTATGCTTATCTTATTGAATAATGTCAAAAACAGTGTTTGTAGTATCAATGAAAATTGAAATAAATTTGTAAATGAATATGCTCAGCAATCATTAATTTGTTAAGAACTAGTGATACAATTAGTAACCATGTAGAATTTCTGTACATATAAATATAGACAAAGCTTCTGTTAAAATTTCACTCATTTAAACACATTGTGTTAGTGGTATTCACAACTTACTATAATAAACGTAACTTGGTTTTTTCAATAGTGACTGATGTTAATGAAGGTGTTATTTTTTATTATTAAACATTGTTTTTTTTTACCGTAATAAAATATAATATTGCAAACATCCTTTCGTTTTGTTCAGTGTCATCCATAGCTACATATCATCAATAATGAGTGCGAATAAAAACAAAATGTAACGAACGTAGTTCTTGTTTTCCTCCTGATAAAATAATTTGAATGAATTGAAATCAAAGTTTTATACAACAATCATGAACTGTAGTTTACTGCAATTAATTATCGCCTCTTTTTACGTAATAAAACAAAAGAACAAAATACAGATTAAGTGTTAAAGAGAATTTATAAGAAGTACTAACAATAAATTATCTATTGTCAAGATACACAGATTAACTCATTGTTTCAATTTCTTTACTAACAATATAGATACTTTACTGGTTTTATGAGGTAGATGATAAAAGATAATAAAAAACAAGAACCAGTAATTTCTTTCCTGAGTGCATCGATTGTTTTACCATTAAGATGTAATGATACGAATAAGATTTTACATCATTTGTTCTGAATAAATAATTCCGAATATTGGTTCGAGGTTTTCATAATACATTTAAAAAAAAAATCTGTTACTATGAAGAACAACTTGAATAATCAGTTTAGCATGAAATAACATCTCTCTGTAAGAAATGTTTTCGATTCACGTATCCACATTCAATGACATCACAATGTAGCGACCAAAATCTTTAGTTTTCAACAGTTTTCTTTGATACTATTAAAACATTTCATCAAAATGATGTTATCGTTCGCATTCAGACAAATACGATGCAGCAAAAAGTTTGGAACAAACCATAAAAATAAAACACAAATAGAAAACAAGCACTTTTGTATTACAGTATGAACATAAGAATTATTATACTACAATGTAAACGAATATTCTATTACTGTGTAAATTTTGAACAATATGCAAAGAGAATGTTAAACAACATTATGATTTGGTGTTACATACTACACATCATCATATCAGCATTAACTAACTAGAAAATTAAACTTATAATATACTGTTCACTGTAATCAGACTTGAAATATTCAGAATCATTCAAATTTTCTTTATTATATCAATTGGTTGCTAAAACAACAAATAAATGCATGTGACGTAAGTAATTAAAGCTAATTCATTTCTATTTTAAGTGATGTGAATAACTTTGTAAGCTTTTTCCATCTTAACAGTTAAAATAACTTAAATTAAAGAATGAAAACAATAGGCTTCGAAAAAAAACAAGTATTTCATTTTAAAGTTGAAAGACAAACTTTTGTATTTAACAGAAAAAATGTTTCCATAGTTGAAAGCGTGAGTGAATTGAGGCTAGACCACCAAGATAAACCTGGAAGCACTGGACGGCCGTTTCGTCTTATTATGGGACTCCTCAGCAGTGCGCATCCATCAAATTTTATATTCACATTTAAATTCCTTATGATAATTTAATACTATAAACATACAAAACGTATTTTAAACTTACCAATGTAAGATCGTCTAGATTGCATTGAACAGTATGGTTGCTTAGAAATAAAACAAGTTAATAACATTTTATTAATTTCGATTTTCAATATAGTTTTTAACAAAAGATTAAAAATTATTTATTTCCACAAGTTTCTGTCTGTTAAGTTGTGAGCGTTTCAAAAATATTTAGATGGAATGATTACCTCATAATCTCTAGTTCAAGACGAACTCTAGTTGAGTCTATCTATATTTTTACATTATTCTTAAAACTTTATTTCATTTAAAAAACGAATCAAAAAGGGTTTATGTGGATATTTCAGTATTTTCATAGTCGAAATCATGAGTCAATTGAAGACAGACCAACACGGGAAACCTGGAAGCACTGGACGGCTGTTTCGTCCTATTACGGGACTCCTCAGAAGTGCGCATCCACGATCCCGCCTCGCGAGATTCCAACCCAGGACCTACCAGTCTCGCGCGCGTGCACTTAACCGATAGACCACTGAGCTGGCCGGCATCCAACGGTGTTAATATCTAACTTCAACCAATCCACGATTTTGAGCAACCATTCACCAATTGTCTTCAGTTAGTTGATATCTCTACAACAGACTTTGTTGAACTCCACTGGTCATCCCTTCCCACTAGAACTCGAGGAGACATTTTTTACAGTCAGTCACTAGTGAGCATATGATTATAGATCAGAAGGAGTTTTTGTGGATATTTCAGTATTTTCATAGCTGAGGAGCCCCATAATGGGACGAAACGGCCGTCCAGTGCTTCCAGGTTTTTGATGGTGGTCTAGCTTCAACTGACTCATGATTTCAACTATGAAAAAACGAATCGTCACAAATGATATATGGCTTTAATCTTTCAATGCAAATTTACTTATGAGATCTATTGACATACCATGGATAGTTTCTTATCTATGTGGTATTTTTCAATGTTGCAACTATTGAATACTAGACCTAATGGTTCTCATTTTTAGATTCATAAAAATTGAGCATTTTAAGTGCACATAGATATTTTTTGATAATCATAAAATGCCGAATTGATGAGACACAGTTAAACGTCAAATCGCTCAAAATATCGGTGATGCATATTTTAAAAAGAAACAATTTCGTAAACAATAATATTCTGCAAAGTCATTAAAATTTATAAAACATTATTTTCTCAATTTTCCTCTTAAATTATATATCATTACGGCTAAACAATTCAACTCAACTAACTAATTTCATCATTATATTAAGTCCAATTACAAATCACGTGTATCAAGTTTATTGGACAGTATAGAGCTAACTTGTCATACAAAATAATTTCAAATAGTAGAAAATATTCAATAATATTGTAGGAATCCTTATCTCAATATTTAAAATGACAGAATGATTTGTTCATGATCAACATAAGTCCTCTTGGAATGTCATTCATGCACAATACTTAAATTATAATTTGAATACTACATATAAACAAGCCAATATACAGTTGAACAAAGATAAATTATTTGATTGCATCTGATACTGTAAATTCTAAATTAATTATGGAATCACATGTACAACTGTTATCGTAGCGAACGTTTAATACTTAAGACTAGAAGAATCTGTTTTGATGAAACAAAATAAAAAGTTAGAATTACTTTCCTATTTATGCAGGTATTTATCTCTCATTGACGAAAATGGATGTAGATAGTCAGTAGAAAATTTACTACAAATTATGACGTCACTCACATTTCAGCATATAGTTTACGTAATTTGATCCCCATTTATATGACATTCCAACGGAATGGACTTGTTTTTGCCAACTAGGAACTCAGTGAATTTTCTTGTAGAATATCCTGTATGTTTAATGACATTTTTAGACTTAAAATTATTTTTTATTAATATACTGATCGAATGAATTAACAATGCGTTACTTTCGTTCATCCAAATATCCATTTTACCTTCCCTACAAATCGTGAATAATGATTCACATTGTGCAAGTTTAAGATGCATAATATCACTCCAAAAATATGGTTATACACACGTAAATTGGGAGATTGAACTACAAGTAGTTCTATTTGTTTCGTCACATATATATTGGTTTTTCACAAATACCCAAAATATTTGAAGTCGAACAACAGCTAGCAATATTGTTGAAGTAACTTAAAAGATAGAATGAATGTAGTCAGTAAAAATAATTAGTTCTCTTAAGTTATTCCGAATGGAAAACACAGCAGTGTAACGGGATACTAAACTAAGGGATGTGATAATATATGTGCCATATTATACAACAGATGACGCTTTATTTCGAAAGAAATTGTTTGACTAGTTTACTTAAAATTACGTTACTTAATTCTGAACATATGTTTAATCTATTTGAACTGGTTTGGTATAGCAGAGAAATGATACAAATGTGCGATTTGTAATGCTACCGTAAAACATTTTGATAACAAGTCAAATAGAGATGGTTTAATGCTGTAGCTTTCTAGCTACATTTCCAGAACTCTGGTTACTTTATTTATACGCGAGTGGTGGTGATTCAATTTTAGATGAGCTTTCACGTGACTAAGACTATCTTGAGTGAAAAAAATGAATTCGTTGGATATGCTGTTTTTAACACTTGATTTTGTCATACAAGCAATAAGACTTACAGTTTGTTCAAAATCAATATTTGTTCTTACTGAGCGCCTGTTAATTTTCTGAATTGTTCGATAATTATCAGCCATTCTACCAGATTCCCAAAATGAAGAAATTCGAAGCCGACGAAGAGATTTTAACTACAATTCAAAAATAATGTAAAAGAATATTTTACTATCGATGTCTATTATTTGTGAATTATGAATATTTTACATAAACCTTGACGGTAAATCTATATTGCATTTAGACTAGTTCATAAATACATGAGCTTCACAATATACAACACACAATAGGAATATTTTAATTATTTCTAATGATTACTTCTTTTACATGAGATAAAACTAATGAAATACTTGTTCCAAATAATAGCTATTCGAAGGCTATTTTGTTACTTTTCATGTGTGTAAAATAAATATGAATGATTTTTTTTCTGTTATATATTTAGAACTATAATCACGGATGTTTGAGCAATGCTACTAATTAAAATTGGACCGTAGACTATATTTGTAATATCAACAACATATGACCCAATTTGTCAAATAAGGAAGAATTTTTTGTTGTTATTGTATACATTTGTCAATGTTCTGTACATATCAGAATAAAAATAATAAAAATAGTTTTCTAGCAACTGAAATATTTCAGATTAAAAACATTTCAATCCATTACCATAGGGTGATATTAACTTTGGATAGTTCAAATAAAAAGTCGCATGTTTTAATTTTGTAGAGTAGCTTATTTATCCATTTGGTCTCCTTAATTTAGTGATTGTAGATCAGATCGGTGATCGGTTTGTATTGTAAAAATTAATTACGTAATTAAACCTTTGTATCACTTGCAAAATTATTTTTAATTACAATATTTTTAAAGTGACTTGAGATATATATCTACACTATCAAAGACATGTTTCTAAAGCAAAGGTGAAAAAATATTATAGATTGGGTTATGATGAAATTTATTACATTGTAGCAATCAATTTTGTTTGAAATAATGCCATATTTAAACAAATTATATTATTATTATAGTTGTTCGAATCACGGTAATTAAGACTGAGATTGATCAGACTTTTATGATATGTACGGTAAGTTGATGAGTTTCAAGTGGGACGAAACGAGAGTCTTACGTTTCACTGGTAACCATCATTCATATGTTCTTAAAAATGTTTGTGACTGAGATACAATACTGAGGGAATCCGCACAACATGCAAATTTTGCCAAAAAAGACTGACCAACTGCAGTCCTAAACATCAGTAGAAAGATTCAAATAACCAGCACAAATGAAATAAGCATTACCGCATGTGGAGCGAAAGCACTGGGTGCGAGTATCAGAGTGAAGATCAACTCTGAGATAAAAGGTCGACCTAGCTGACGAGTGCCAAATAGAATGATACTCTTGTCCTGGATTTTCAGGCTAGCCGTCACTCATCTTTGTGTAAAAAGTATATATATATATATATATATATATACATATATATATATATATATATATATAATTCGTTCTACTTTGCAATTCGTACGATGCAATTCAGTGTAAGTGCTTATTTCGTTACTTAAAATAAGTGAATTTATAAATTAAATGCCCTATATGTTATTTATTGTGGTGTTTTTATGTAAAATTCAGCATGTATTTATGTAGTTTTTTCTCGATTATTTAATGGTGAAAATTAAACAAAATTAGAGTATTTTTTCTGAACACTTACTATTGTTTTAATGACAAAACTAAGAAAAACAAATGACGAACTACAAGTAATTATTATGCTCAAAGACCATTCAGTCATTATAAATAATATTAGACATTCATTTGGTGACGCTATCAATTATTATGTGTACTAATTGTATCCTCAATTGTGCCTGTTGTGATTGCTTGTGCGTCTGGCTGCTTGCGGAATATATTTCCTACTTCGAACTTGGACTTCTCACTCTTATTAGCGTGGCTGGGATGCATCAGAATAGCTAGCTTATTTGTATTTGGTCACAAAGTCTTTGTCCCGTTCTCAGATAGGGAACTCGTAATCGCTTCAAACATAACAAGATATGATCTCTTTATTTGTCAACAAATTTCTGAGTATTAGAATTATTTCTATTAGCTTTTAATCAATGAAGATTTACCTGGTTATTGTGATCGATTAGTTGTTTGATTTCTACGTATTTAGTAATGAGAAATGCGATTATTTAGTTTATTTTCTATGTTACTTTAAAATATTCATTTAAAAAAATTATATACTTAAGAATAAATAAACAGAAATTACTTTCTCGATTAACACGTATTTAGGAAGTCCATTTTAGTAATATATATTATCACTATGGTAATATTTTATTCAAATCCCTTTAAAGTTAATTTATGTTTACCTGTGTTTCCGTGATTATAACTGGTTGATTGAGTATAATCCAAGTGACTGTTTCATAACAAGCTGGAAAAGGTAAGGAACCTTGATATGTCATATAGTGAACAGTTGATGGTATTATTGCATCCAACAACAAACCGTGAAGCTTTTTAAACTGCCCTACATAAAAGAGCAGGTAAATAAAAAATTATGTTGAACTTCATTAGTCAAATAAAAATCTAAATAAATAGACCAACGGCTAGAAGAAGTGATTTTATGAAACTTTATTTTTCATACATAAATGTAATCGTTAAACTACTTGAAAATGAAATGGATTTAATCAGAACTACTGAAAGAAATAACAGATTTTCATTATTTTGCAAGATGTGTTAACGACAGTTAAATTGTTTTAGATGTCTGTCAGGAGAAAACATATAACTTGAAAAAAAATTGTCTTCGATAAAATCATTTAAACGATTTGTACAGTGATATTTATAGTTGATGGACAATTTAAGTGGTCCATTGATAATAATAAGAGGGATTATATAGTTTCAGGTGTCAAAAGAAAGTCATGTAGCATTTGATAATTTAGAGAAGAATGATAAAGGAAAACCCGGTGTGTGAAAGACATTTATCCACTTAACGAATATGAGAATATTGAACAGAAAAAGGGGAACGCGATAGTAAAGAATTATAAAGAATTAGAAACATTAGAAGGGTGTTAGCAACAATTTGCCGTCTGTGTAATATTAACTGTTAGGTTCATAGAGGAGTATGACCTTACAGATGTTGCTTTCACACGCGGCGTTCCAGCTTGAGAAGATGAATTGCCAAATCTTCTCCAGTGCATATGCTATCAATTGGTTCTCCTTTTGAACAAAATCATTTGGCTGTATGGATGACTTTGAAGGATAAATCTGGTCAGAATTAGAAAGACTTTTTAATGTTGAACTATTTATTGCTCTGCTTAAGCATTTAGAAAAACACTCAGAGTTATGTTTAGAGATGGATTCAGAACGACGTCGCTTGTGTAAACGTATAAATCCACATTGATGTGGACCAACTCTGGACCTTATCTGTGATATATCCACGAATGATTGGAAGCATCAAAAATATTTTTCTTAATGATTTTGTGAGACAAATTTCCGGAACTTCTACAATAGTATCTTCTTCAAAATCAATGATCATGAGAAGAGTTTTTTTTAGAACTGGAGGCTATGTATATTGAAGTCTAGGTTTAATGAACCTGAATGGACAGACAATTTCTATAAACACTTATTTAAGTTGGGACAGTTATTCGTTTGTTGTTTTTTCGGAGCATCTTTCACTAGCTGTTCAGAATAAAGATTGAATTAGGTTTTTTGATGTTTGATAGAATCAAGCTATGGAAATTCGTATATCAGCCGATAATAGTTGATTTTACATCTTGAGTACATGATATTGTAGTAAACAGAATTTTCATCACTACAATTTCTTTTGTTTCTCTTAAAAGAACGCTGTGTATTACTTTTGTTAACTTATTTATTGTTAACAGATTTTAGTGATACCTCAAACTGATCTTCATAACCCAATTCAACCTAACACTAGAATAGCTTCATTCACTGCCAGTATTTAAATAAATTTTCCGTATGTTATCTAACAAGAAACGAAGTTACACATACTTTACCTAATAACTCTGTTGACTGACTACAATAAAGCCTTCTCTATAGTTTACAAAATTGCCTCTCGCTAAACACATAAGAAACCAGAATAAAATATTTATTGCATCCATTTTATCCTACAAAACTTCATTGACAACAATAGTTCATCACAATAATGTTATAAACAATTCATAGTTTCAGTTTAAAAAATTATTCATTCTTTTTAGTTGATTTTCTTTTCTTAACTAGTCACAAAAACATAAAGCAGGCTATTGAATGGTACATGTCTAGTAGTCTATTATTTATTTCACTTCATTAATTCGTGTTGACATTATGTAGAGTTGATTTTATTGTGAAAGATCAATGACATTTTTATTTAACCATAAAAACATTACCCTTGTATTCATTTTTGTCTATACATACATTCATGAACGCTTTATATAACAGTATGTTGCTCGGAATAAAAATTCTTATATCAATGGAATGACTAGAAGATACAAAGGTGTTTAATTTTTCATACAATAGAAAAATATCACTAACAATAGTTACTTTGTCAATCAAATATTAATTGCCTACGCTTTTCTTCATTTGATAATGATAGGGTGCGTGATAATTTCACAACAAAATAACTCATTTTAAATCTTAGTCAATAGGGCGAAAGTTATATATTAAAACTTTCCTTCCGTCTTGGTCTAATAGGGAGCAAAACTATAATTTTGAAGAAGTCATAATTTATTGTTATTGCGTCAGTATGTAAACAATGAGTATTAGATAATGCTGTCTTTAATGACATACCTTTCAACTGCACATGATCTGCTATAGAAAATATAGCTTCCAAATCAGCTGACGACCGATCGCCAACCTAGAGAGTTTGGGAATAGTTACTTAAATAATAACAATAATAAACTGAATTATGCTTATACGGTTAAATATATATTTCAAAATAATAAAGTATTTTAAACGGTGTCATTACATGGCTGTAAAAAGTGAATAAAATTTTGCAATAGGACAAATGTCCTAACATGTTTGTGATTTACTAAGACAGTAATGTGTATTAGAAATAGTTAACGTTTGCTATCACTATAGGTTTAATAAATGAAAAGAACTATTTGTAAAGTTGAGGTGTCTAAAGATAGAGTGTGAATGGTTTAATCAATGTGATAAAACTACATAAATGTATTAAATAATATTAGAAATGTTATAATGATCCAATTAAGTTACTTAATATTGAGAGAATCATGTTTGTTAAAAGTGATGAATACACAATTAGTCACGTAGCGTATCTAAACTATAAACTGTAAAGTTTTCCTCGCAACTCTTTGTGCTTTCTACTATCTCCAATTCTTAAGTGTACACTCATCATTCATATCTCATGATTTTCTTACCATTAATTATGTTAATTATACCTAAATAGCATTTTTACACTTTATGGTTTATTTAGATGGTCTTTTCATAATAAATGTGACTCGTTACCTTACAGTAAATATTCCTCACTTTTTTTTCAATGATCACTCGACTTTATAAATAACATTGAATGAAATTGAACCGTTTTTGATCTACAAATCTGTGTTTCTAGCTCATATTGTTGTCTAGTTCAGTCAAAAGTCATGAATATACGTCCGATTTAGCTGATTTTCAGGTGTATAGCGGTATTATTAAATTAACTCAAACAGTTGTTAGTCTGTATGATCTTCGATATATATATGCGTCAAAAAGTCATGTATCATTCCAAACTTGGCGTTTCTAGTGTATAATTTTACAAAACACTCGTATAATTGATCACCGTAATAAAACAGGCTGACTTTATTCATATCATTGTTGTGTTAATGATAATAATTATTGAAAGTCATTTTTTGACAAGGATTTAAAGTTGAATATTTGTATAAAATAAATATCAGTCGGTAAATAGTATTTTATACCTCCGACAGTAAAGTAAGTATAACCGTACAGTTACTAAATTGATTTTTTCCCCAGATTTCATGCCTATAACTCTTTTCTTTTAGAACACTTAACGAAGAATTTCCAAAAGTTATACGACAACATAAAGTCCAAATTCGTTAAGGTTTTGGTCTGAAGAATATACGTCTGTCATAAAAAAATTTCATTAATAATGATTTCACTTTTCCCAATAAAAAATACTTATATAACAATGAATTATACCGTTTCATCAAGCAAACTGAGAAAGGTTTAAATCCATTGTATGCATCAACTAAATTTAGATACATTTATTTATACTTTCATTAAATATAAGAACTATTATTTATGCTCCACTAATGGACAGGTAAAGTATTTTCCAACACGAAAGAATAACAACTGAAATGCGTGAACACTTTGTGATTAAAAGTTCTTGAATTTATACCTAGTATTTGGGTTTTGCAATTTCTTGAAAGTAACCAGTAACTAGACAAGTTGATGTTGAGTAAATGGGATTAGATGACATTTTCTATTATTATTCAAGCGAATAAAGGAGCTATTAGCAGTATCGATGCGCTGCTGATTCACGAAATTTTGGTTCAATTCAACAATCACTTCAATGATAACAATTTAAAACGTGTAAGAATAACTTACTTGACAGAAGATAGACAATACAGCCAACCCATTCGGCTTAGATAGCGCAACAGAAAAATTTGGATATAAAATGTAATTGAATGCATATAGTTGTAGCTGTCAATATGAAACAAAAAATGTAATCTTGGCATAATATGTCATAACGTTTTGTTACCTTTAATAAATCAACTCATACTAAAATAGCCACGAAATTCAATGAATGAACTCGTTACACAAAACCTAATTACTTAATAGAAGTCTCATAAACTCTGTACTGTCTACGGATTATATTACATTAGTGGAAAAACAAATCTATCCACCATCATTGAAAAAGTGGTACAATTATTCCATGTACTAAAATGCACGGTATTTGAAGTGTAACTAGATTGTTTACGATACAAATATTTTAAGTATTGATATCCATACATAAACCATGCACTCAGAAGTATACGTCTGAGGAGAATAAACGTCAGTTATTTCAGCAAAACCAAGACGATTTCAGTTTTTCCTATGACTGAATTTTAGATAATCTTATAGTATCTACAAAATCAAATCATATGAAATTTATCTTCTTTTTTAATCTGTGCATAACAATTATCCGTAAAAACGTACTTTTCTATAAAAATTGGAGTTCTGTAGGAAAAGTGTTGATGATATCAAGGCAACAAAAACATTGGAACTGAACTTAACTTAAGAAATCACTGCTTTTGATAATAATGATTAAAATTCATCCAAACGAATCGCCATTGTCGCAAAAAATCAACTTTTTAATAAATGATAACTTAATCATCTTTGTTCTGGCATGACTATCCATGTTTAATGCAATCTATTTATATTCGTTTAGAAATAAGAAGCTGAAGACATGAAGACGTAGTTCAATGTAGCCCAATAAATTTTTTTAAACTACCTTCTAGTCTATGTTAATCTGTCTCTCAATTGTCACGATAATCAAAACAGTACTGTTTTTTCTCTTGTATTGTTAGCAAAATAAATATGTTAAAAATTTTTTTAATCGTTTCTCTAATTTTGGATTTGTCATAATTAGCCGCTTTTGTGTTCAGAAGCAGCAAAGTTGTACGCTACGCCATCATTGTGTTCTAACTAATAATAAAGTAAACAAATCGTTCTTGATAGTGAACTAATCTATACTTTGTTTTAATCATTTAGCTTTTACTGATGAGAGAATAACTTACTAAAATTTAATCAAGTGTATTGCAAGATGAGAGACGACATCAACATATGTTCCTAGATAAATGCTTTAAATTGTTTCATTTATACAACTACGTAGTACAAAATAGATTTTACAGTATATGAATTACAACCATTAGCATTTTGGACAAACAAGAGTATGAACAACTAAATTTGGTTGAAAAAATTTATATTTACCTTTAGCTAGTAATAGATGGTTTCTCATTAAATATAATTTGAAGTGGAGGAGCGGTATTCACTTGATACTGGGTTTCGGAACCTGACTGATATCAAGCCCCCTTAGAATATCTACATTTGGAAACATGCTTTCGAATTTATGATGCTGTTTCTTTCACTTTTCTACATTTATTTTAATATTTAGAATTAAATTGAAAATTCTACAGCACTTAGTACATATTTACACAAGAAATTACTGTTTTACGGATGAAAATTTAATAAATTATATTCCGAATGAGTCACAAACGATATTAGCTACATTTCTCCTATTTACGTCAAAGGCGAATGCCAGCTACATTGTTATCATATTTAAATGATAGTCGCTCTTCAGTCACTAGATATACTTCGTCAGTATTTTAAAGCACTCATCACCTATGTTATTTAGTGTACAAAATGAATCATTGAAAAATCTAAATCCATAGGATTAGCTGCTATTCATAAACAACAATTAAACATTTTAGCAAATCCTATCAAAATTTTTACCTCCGCCGGGAATGAAATACCATCAATTTGATGATCTGAACCACGACTTGATCTTGAACCAAATTTTATAATAGCACCAAACAGTCTGTAGTCGTATACTAATGGTCCTTCACTGAATATAATTATCGTTGTTGAATCAAGAATCTTCATTTGTAAATCCTGTCCAGTATTCACTATCTCCACGTCAATCTGAAGGAATCGTACAAGCATATTTTTAGTATCTGAACAATTTTCTGTTAGCTACACAATATATTATGGATTATACATCATCTTAATGTGCAATCGACTGACTATTACCTGATTTATATTTAGCCTAATATCACTATGTTCTGAACTGATAAATAAAACTTAGCAATTTGTTATGAAATAATATGAGTTAAACTTTAAATTTTTGTATCTCAATCATCAATTTAACTAATGATTAAAAGTAGTTACAGCAATAAAACAATAAACATGTTTTAATGAGAATACAACAAATGTAACACCCAATTACTACTAAATGAACCAGTATATTTTAAATTGTATATAGAAAATAAAAAAATATGTACTTGGGACCGAGTGCTTGCCTGTTTATCCAAGCCTAGTATTTTTATCGGTTCCAAATTAGTATCAAATACTAAATGCTTTGTAGAGATGTTGATTGGTGATTGCATTTTTCCTTGATAGCAAGCTGACCAAACGTCATTAGTAATAGCCATGAGCGCTGTCTGCCCCCAGTGACTTGGACCTTGATGAGAACAGAAGAAGAATATTAATAGGCGATCATTCTGATAACGAAAAGCGACATCGCAACTGTTTGCAAATACTTGCTAAATATGATAGTTTTATAAGATATGTTTCCTTCATGAATTTAAAAAAAAACCAAGAACAACAAGGTTTGTACGAATTCATTTTTATTAAGTGAGTTTTCATCGTCTTACCACAACCGTATTTATACTGGAACATAACATAGTTTCAAGTAGTAATCATTGGTTGTTGAAAAACAAAACAAAACGACGGAATACCATTATTGTATATATACATGCATGTATGAGGTCATTTGAAGAAAAATATTGAAAATTTAAAACGGGTAAGATATTATTTATACAAAAACTGTAATTGCAAAGACGAATTGGGTAGTATTTATAAAAGATCTTAAAAACTTTACTTAATGTTTGAGAAGTGAGTAGTAAAATTCACAGATGATTGAAAATTTAATCTTAAAGCGGATAAAATAACAGTTGACTAGGCGAAGTTTGTATGCCAAAATGTAAGTAATAGTAATTGGGGAAAATTCAGTCAGTTTATCGATTTGCCGTGGGATTGCCAAAAAATAATTCTCTTAAAGCACATAAATTTGTTTTGACTTATCGGTAAATTAGGACAGGTAGGCATGTTTGATAATTTTCTCTGAATCAGAGTAACGTTTCGGGACACTAATTTTGTTCACAATGTAGCACTTTGACGTTTTTTTATTTCCAAAATAGCATTTTATTCAGCGTACTTACTTACTAATTTACGCCTGTTACCCCTCGTCGAGGAGTATAGGTCGCCCAGCAGCACTCTCCAGCCATCATTGTCCTGAGTAATCCTTTTCAATCCTTTCCAGTTTCTATTGATCCTTTACATGTCTATTTTCGATCTTCGATAAAGTGTGTTCTTCGGCCTTCCTCTTTGCCGCTTCCCTTCAGGATTCTAGATAAGCGCTTGCCTCGTGATGCAGCTTGGTGATTTCCATAATGTATACCCCATCCCCTTCTAACGTCTTGTCCTAATTTCCTCTTCAGCTGGAAGTTAGTATGTTCTCTCCCACAGTAGACTGTTGATGATGGTATGCGGCCAACGGACATTGAGTATCTTATGTGGATAATTGTTTATAAATACTTGTAGCTTTTTGATGATGGTTATGGTAGTGTTTTATTCAGCGTAATATTTATTTATTTTCAGCATGACATTTGACTTTCGTTTTATGTTCAGTGGAATATTTTAGTCGGCACAATAATGGGTTTATATCTTATAGCGAAACATTATTTCACATCAGTATGTTTTTAAATAATTAGGTGTGAATCTTGTGTAGTATGAAAGGTGTCGAATTTCGTTGAACGTGACCACCACGTTCTCTGTATTATCCTAAGTGAGTTTCGAATTCGTTTTACGGTAAACCTGTGTAGGTATTCATTTGTATGATGTTTGTTAACTAATCACCAAGGCTGATTAAAGTCGGTAATTAAATGTATGTGTTTGGTTCGGTGGCATTTTATTCTTGGGGAGTCAATAAATCTCTGTTATTAGTCTTGTGTTGTCACTTCCCTTCGTGGTAGTTATGACGATTCTCGTTTCTAAGTAGAATCAGCGGGACCATAAGTGTTGCAGCGTTCTAATTGTCAGCGCTTAAGAAAACTTAACGTCACATTTGTGACTAGTCGGCTCGGTTTATCTGCACCTTATTGTTGACTTTCATTCAGGGACTCGAACCTGGGGTCTTACGCTTCCATTGCCCAATGCGTGGTCCGAGAAAAGTTTACAAACTAAATGTAATCCAAATCCGTTACACAAACTTATGATATAATGACTATACCGCGCCAACTAGCACAGAATGTACATAAGTCGACTAAACTGATCGGTATTCAGTCAAAAATTTCAGATGGACAAGTGATACCTTATAAAGTTAAAGAGTATTACAGACACAATTTAAGCTTTTGATTAAACCTCTGTGGTCACAAATATTATACAAATTATGTGCTGGCTCACATGGATAAGTGTAAGACTTGGTAAACAGCGGTTTCTCCTATCGACTGGCTTCTTGCTTTACAGTGAAAGTTTTGCTTTTTGTCCCCTATTACCATTGACCAAGTTTTGCTCAAATAAACCTCGATAACGCATATTACCGGACACAAAGTGTTCTCCAAGGTACCATTTTGAAAAAGTCATTACAGTTTTTTAATAAATATCATTTATTGTCCAATAAACCTGACAAACACATCGTTTAATGAAAGGTTTTGACACAAGTTAACATTTATTATGCTTTGCTTGCATTCGACCAAATGTTTTCATATATAATAACTGGTTTCGTTATAAACAACAGAAATAGTAGATCGTGAGTATAAAATTTGTAATGATTTTGGTACTATTCCCTGGAACAATACTGTAAGACACTGAAAACTATTTTCTATTTGTTCCTAGGCAATAATGGATTCGCTTCAAATCTGTATTTCGCAGATGTGCACAACGTTTCAAACTTTGTCTCGCATTAATATTGTGCTTTGTAAATGTATTTGTTAAACAACAGTTTCAAGATGAACACATATTCCTTCTTGGGCACGTTTCTCGCCTTAGCAAATCTAACCACTTTAGAATCACCCTAGAATTCAATCAAAAACCATAAAAACATTGTGTACTTTGGCTTAATAGCACTCTTATAAATCACGATGACAAAATTTCGGTAGATAGTCAATACCTAAATCAGAAGTTTGCTTTAGTTTGCAAAACGCTGAAAATTTGATTTTTTGCTTAATCGGATATAATGAGAGTTTATTTAAATTTTTATCGTTATCATCATGGCATGCATTATTGTGCAATATGATGATTTGGATTTAATTTATTCACAATTAATCTTTCTAAGTGTTTCATTGTTTACTGTAAGAATAGCCACTTGTTAATTCACGCTTAACTAATGATTAGTGAAAAAGTTAACTGACATTAAACATGTCAAAAACTGAGCTCTTATCAATTCAACATAAATTTTTAAAAACGTCGTTTCTATTCGCGAGTTTTTTATTCTTTCGTTACAGATAAGGAGAACGGCAAGAATATTCATTAGTGGTTCTGAAAAACTGTCAACGGTCTTCAAGCATTTGATTTGAATAATAAGCAATAAAGTTTATCAAATCCATCTATCGATATTAATGTACAAGTCCTCATTTATGGGCTTTTGATGCTGGCACATTGTAGCTCATTTTTCATTGTGTTAAATGTTTGAACACGTAAACGTCATAATTGTATTATCACAGTAAACAAGCGTTATTTAACTAGTTAGCTGGTTAGTATAATATTAACCTGTACGAGAATTGTATCTATACTTTTAAATAAAGTGCTAAAATTTCGAGGACGTTTCTGATAGCCAGATCATAAAAATTATATATTCAGTTTAAAAAATCAACAATTAAACAAAATGCTTGAACATGTGATAAAATACCTCCTATTACGCCTTCTTTGTAATGCCACCATGTATCCCACGTTGAATCCCATGAACTTTCTTGCCACACAGCATTAAGTGACTCTTAAAATATTGAAAAACGAATAATCACACAATTCTGATTAGTATGCTTGACTATTGCATTTTTGAGTCAATAATACTGATATTTATATCTTGTAAATATAATATTGTTAAGGGAGAAGACACAATTGAATGAAATAGGGAAATTTTTCTCACATGCATTTCACGTGGAGGACTGATTAAAAAAATTAAAATAAATCATTTCTCTCAGCTAATCAAACCAAAAATTATCAAGCAATAATTTCTATGCATGATTTACTGTCTTGAAAAACGGATAGGTTATCATTGGAGTCCTACTTTTTCGGAATATAAAGATGTACATTAAGAAAAACCTAGTGAATTATACTTAATCCCCACGACGTAATTTTCTTCCAATACTCTGGGCATTTTAAAAATTGAAAATTTCCGTTAATGAAGCACTCGCCACTGGTTTCTTAAACCTCTACATGGATAGAAAGAACGTGAGGCCATTTAGTCACTACCAAACATTGTTTTCCCAATTGTTTAATGCTCACCATGAACACAAAGCTACATTTCAATCATACAGCTCAAAACCACTCAATATTTTCAAAGAACCGTACCTAAATATGAGGGTGAAAGTGTAGCTGAAAGTAAGCCCATTATTCAAATATCAAGTGATGACACAATTAGTGAGGTCATTGATAAAAAAAATGAAAACATCGTACATTGAAAAACTTTCTTCCGCTTACAATAAACTATCTTACTTAAGATACTATTCGAGAAGCAGAAAATTTTTTATATCTGGTAAATGTGTAGACGGGAGAGTTGACAAAAATAGATTGAACCGTTTTGATGAAGCGTACGTGAAAAATTTCTCGGTAAATAAAATGTCCCAGAAGCTTCCACAAAAGATGTTGAAGAAACCGGCCTGAACGTTCAGATGAACAGATATTTGGCTAAGTCTTTTTAATTACCGATAACACATAAAATTTGGCTTGACAGAAATCCAGTACATAACTTTTCTTATGTAATCTCCTGTGGTATTTATAGAGCGATTAAGTAGAAGTCCTGTCTATGTATCCACATCTTTTAAAAACTTTACCAATCATAGAATTATGCATAAGTTTAAACAATTTTTATTGATCAATGTCTTAGTTTGAACTGCAAAACGTTCACTGATAAGAGATACATTAACAATATACAGAAAATGAACTACAGAAAAACAACACGTAAAATTCAGAAATTTACAAATAACTGAGCTTATATGGCGTAAGGTATACTCAAACATGTTTGATCGACTTTCAAAAACAGACACTAAAAAATATGACTAGAAACACGACAAAATCTTTATAAGTAGCCGAAGAAATCGTTGACAAAAAGTCAAGGCACCAAGTTTCGTCAAAAAGTATCACCAACATAATAAATTAATTTCATTCCAATTCAAAATACAAGTATTTAAAAGATGATAACTGTAAGGAGACGTACGATTAGTACTCTAATTAAAGCTTGCAAAACAGAATATGCCTAAAATATATAATTCAACAGCCATTTCAACACAAGATTCTTCACATAATAAAGAGAACAGTGAAATTAACAGTTGAATAACGAAGATCAAACACGAAAATAATGAATCTAAATACGACATTTTAAAATAATTGTGAACACCGCTAGTGATCAAACGTGCCGTTCTGTCATGTGTTTGAAACAAAATAGCCGATCAAACCGCAACCAAAGGAAAGTGATTATCGGAAGGCTAATCGAAACTCAAATGTTTCATCGAAAACACCACATTTGCTCAAATTTGCAAATTTCACAAATTAGCAGCCTAATAGCAAGTAGGAAGTGGTAACAACATTCACAGCAAGACTAATTCAGTGCTTAGGTGAGATTTGTTCGTCATATCGTCTAATGATAGTTACAAAACACGGTAAAACGACAAAGATGTTTAGACACCCAGATGGAATTAAAGATAAAACTTTTACCTTATTTATGTATCTGTCCCACTACACTGAACAAAAGCTTTTGCAGTACACATAAGCCACTGAGTTTAGTAACAAACTAGTTCAGAATCCACATAATGGGGCAAAAGTTATTTCCTAAAATTAACAAACTCATTCCTCAGTGAGTTTATATTCTGTAAATATTTCTAGACATTAAGTCCCGTCTCGTGGTTCCGTAACAAAACTGCATGTCTATAGTAAAACCTTGAATTGATTTGTAAGTCGGATAGAAAACCACAAAGAGATTGGTTTTGGAGCTTGGACATGAAAGAAAAAGATAGGTATTCGTCTGAGAATAAACCGATGGAAGCAACTCGAAATACATTTCCTAATGTTTCATATTGAATACCGAATCTCTGGAAACTGCCTACCTAAACTCTCGCCGAATACAAAACATGCGCTCGTTGATTACGCGTTTACTATACCAAGTCATGATGCTATCGGTATGCGAATTATACATAAAATAGAATAGATTTAAGATAAAAGTTTACCTAAAATGACCGTAAAATACGAAGCTCCCATACAAGTCTAAAAATCAACCTAGTTAAAGTTTCAGATGTTGGTTAACCGGAACAGAACTGCCAAGGTTTCTTATCCTTGTTAAGTAGGTTAACCAAAACCTTTTTTCGAAGGGCGCTAAATACCCACTTATGTTTATCAAAGTTTTTGAACTGACACAAAGTAGTTGGTAATATATAATCTTACCCGTCCTAACAGATCAATCAATCATTCAAAAACTACGGCCAGCACGGGTTACTCAACTGGACTAGTATACACGAAAGATTGCGTGATTTTATTCCATGCAGGGTAAAAACACGTCATAAATGTGCTATCTCCATTAAACGTCCGTAAAAATAGTGATAAGGTCATCTATTGCTTTAAAAACCACAGTGCTACAACATCTTCAACTACTTACGATGGCCAAATAGTTAGCTCAAGTCAGTACACCAAACAGCAGTCAACCAAATATTTTTGAGTTCTAAACAAGATTTTGCAAAGTACATTGATTCTAATTAGTTGTATGTTTTTGCTGAACGACTATTCAGTTGATCTGCATTCCAACTAACGTGTGATCGTAGTCCATCAAGTGGAAAGCGTCAAAATAACTGAAGGTTATTTGAGTTTGTACGCTGTGGGCGAGCAAGACATTAAACAGTAAACTTGGACAAGAGAAAAACTGACGAAATAAACTTGACACTAGACTTTAAGTAAACAAGTATCAGAAAAAAGTTTATAAGAGCCCGTGAACTATCTTCGGAGTGCGATAAACTCACTCTCCTACTTATGCTATAAATTGTAACAAATAATACAGCAGTAAAAGATCAAAAATAACTTACTGGTTTTAGTAAAGGAAATAATAGCGAAAACTGTCAAGACTCCAAAAATCATTCCCACAGATCAGGTGGGCGCATCTGTTTGTTATCGGGAATTTTCATCATAACGAAGCTATAGTCTAAATGAACATGCGCAGTATAAAGTAATGGATTCAAGTTTCCAACACTTAAGGTCGTATAATTAACATCGTATTCAATGTCCAAAAAATGAAGTAGGTCGCGTTTCAATATCCATTTATTTAAATATGGGTTCAACGTGAATCTTTTGTGTACATTATCTTGGATAATGTCAATCATCAGATTCTGACAATCGAATAGAGGTTAGCAGACGAGATCACCAAGCTAACCAGTCGCTGTTAGGGTTTAAATAATGAATAAGGTACATAGCTTAACTATTGGTTTTACTTTCATTTGATTAGTAACCTTCAATAAGTCAGGCATTTACTTAAATAATTATGCGATTGGCAACATTTGAAATGACTTTCCAATGCAAACAATTTTATAGGCGTTCGAGACTGGTGCCTATCTTGCATCTCAATGAACTACTATATAGTCAAATGCCAAGTTGTTTGTCCTAAATGTTTCTTGAGTTGTCGAAGTAAAGTGCAAGATAAAAGCCAGTTGCTGAAACTTTTATAGGCGTTCGAAACTGGTACTAATCTTGCTAATTTTAATGCACATTACCAACTGAAGAGTGCCTGCAATACAATAAAGACATGTCCCACCACATGATGTGTATGAAGGTTTGAAATCTTTTGGGTAGCCACATTTTCGTTTTTATGCTTCTTTACCAACCCGTATGAGCAAATATATTATTCCTTTCGTCTATTATTTTCATCATCCTTAATTTTTAGGTTAATTGCAATTGCATTCATAGGAAATGAAAATTTACCAACTTTGAAGGCAATGTGCGAAATCACTTGAGGTCCGACAATACTGAAATATCTGCATTGCATTGCACCGAGCCGTACCGCCGTATGAGTGCAAAATAATTATTAAGCGAAATTTTGAGTCCTTTTATCAACCACGAACCTTCAGATGATACACTGAGTTCGCCTTCAATTAGGTTTACGACTACGAAGTTTCAGCAACTGGCTTTTATCTCGCACTTTACTTCGACAACTCAAGAAACATTTAGGACAAACAACTTGGCATTTGACTATATAGTAGTTCATTGAGATGCAAGATAGGCACCAGTCTCGAACGCCTATAAAATTGTTTGCATTGGAAAGTCATTTCAAATGTTGCCAATCGCATAATTATTTAAGTAAATGCCTGACTTATTGAAGGTTACTAATCAAATGAAAGTAAAACCAATAGTTAAGCTATGTACCTTATTCATTATTTAAACCCTAACAGCGACTGGTTAGCTTGGTGATCTCGTCTGCTAACCTCTATTCGATTGTCAGAATCTGATGATTGACATTATCCAAGATAATGTACACAAAAGATTCACGTTGAACCCATATTTAAATAAATGGATATTGAAACGCGACCTACTTCATTTTTTGGACATTGAATACGATGTTAATTATACGACCTTAAGTGTTGGAAACTTGAATCCATTACTTTATACTGCGCATGTTCATTTAGACTATAGCTTCGTTATGATGAAAATTCCCGATAACAAACAGATGCGCCCACCTGATCTGTGGGAATGATTTTTGGAGTCTTGACAGTTTTCGCTATTATTTCCTTTACTAAAACCAGTAAGTTATTTTTGATCTTTTACTGCTGTATTATTTGTTACAATTTATAGCATAAGTAGGAGAGTGAGTTTATCGCACTCCGAAGATAGTTCACGGGCTCTTATAAACTTTTTTCTGATACTTGTTTACTTAAAGTCTAGTGTCAAGTTTATTTCGTCAGTTTTTCTCTTGTCCAAGTTTACTGTTTAATGTCTTGCTCGCCCACAGCGTACAAACTCAAATAACCTTCAGTTATTTTGACGCTTTCCACTTGATGGACTACGATCACACGTTAGTTGGAATGCAGATCAACTGAATAGTCGTTCAGCAAAAACATACAACTAATTAGAATCAATGTACTTTGCAAAATCTTGTTTAGAACTCAAAAATATTTGGTTGACTGCTGTTTGGTGTACTGACTTGAGCTAACTATTTGGCCATCGTAAGTAGTTGAAGATGTTGTAGCACTGTGGTTTTTAAAGCAATAGATGACCTTATCACTATTTTTACGGACGTTTAATGGAGATAGCACATTTATGACGTGTTTTTACCCTGCATGGAATAAAATCACGCAATCTTTCGTGTATACTAGTCCAGTTGAGTAACCCGTGCTGGCCGTAGTTTTTGAATGATTGATTGATCTGTTAGGACGGGTAAGATTATATATTACCAACTACTTTGTGTCAGTTCAAAAACTTTGATAAACATAAGTGGGTATTTAGCGCCCTTCGAAAAAAGGTTTTGGTTAACCTACTTAACAAGGATAAGAAACCTTGGCAGTTCTGTTCCGGTTAACCAACATCTGAAACTTTAACTAGGTTGATTTTTAGACTTGTATGGGAGCTTCGTATTTTACGGTCATTTTAGGTAAACTTTTATCTTAAATCTATTCTATTTTATGTATAATTCGCATACCGATAGCATCATGACTTGGTATAGTAAACGCGTAATCAACGAGCGCATGTTTTGTATTCGGCGAGAGTTTAGGTAGGCAGTTTCCAGAGATTCGGTATTCAATATGAAACATTAGGAAATGTATTTCGAGTTGCTTCCATCGGTTTATTCTCAGACGAATACCTATCTTTTTCTTTCATGTCCAAGCTCCAAAACCAATCTCTTTGTGGTTTTCTATCCGACTTACAAATCAATTCAAGGTTTTACTATAGACATGCAGTTTTGTTACGGAACCACGAGACGGGACTTAATGTCTAGAAATATTTACAGAATATAAACTCACTGAGGAATGAGTTTGTTAATTTTAGGAAATAACTTTTGCCCCATTATGTGGATTCTGAACTAGTTTGTTACTAAACTCAGTGGCTTATGTGTACTGCAAAAGCTTTTGTTCAGTGTAGTGGGACAGATACATAAATAAGGTAAAAGTTTTATCTTTAATTCCATCTGGGTGTCTAAACATCTTTGTCGTTTTACCGTGTTTTGTAACTATCATTAGACGATATGACGAACAAATCTCACCTAAGCACTGAATTAGTCTTGCTGTGAATGTTGTTACCACTTCCTACTTGCTATTAGGCTGCTAATTTGTGAAATTTGCAAATTTGAGCAAATGTGATGTTTTCGATGAAACATTTGAGTTTCGATTAGCCTTCCGATAATCACTTTCTTTTGGTTGGGGTTTGATCGGCAATTTGGTTTTTGGTATTTTGTACTAAGCCACAATTTCCCACTCACTGAAATTTTAATTATTTTAAAATATATTTATTCTTGTTTCTTGAGACTGTTGTTCAATTGCGCGTATTCTCTTTGATCTTCCATGATAGTATAATGTTTTGGTCATTGTTTGCTATACTTATAGGTTGAAGTTTATTAGGTTTTATTTTTTTTTGATCATTTTTACTATCTTCCTTTCTTTGTTATATTTTGTTTGATATTTTATAAATAATTTCATAAGACAATAATGCTTGTTATATCGAGCATATGAACTCATACATACATTGTTGTCTCACGTATCTTGCATTCTGGCTGTTTTGAATGTGTACAGTTTTATTGTTCGTTTTTCTTTGCATTTTTTGTAAACTATAACTAAAAATTTTTTAAGTTTACATTTTATTAGCTAGTTCACTTATAATCTGACTGATAAGTTGATTGTTTTTTGATTCATTTGTTTGTTTTCTGTGTATTACCAATAATCTTTCACTTAGTTTTCTTAAGAAAATCATGTTTTAAAAATGACTGGAAGGACAAACACTTTTGCAACTTGTATCTTCGTTAGCATTTTCGTTTTGTTAGCCGTGAATTGGGAGAAAATGTAGATCATATGACTGTTATTATGTTGGACAGAGTTTAAAAGTTTTAGACAAACATAATCTTTATGTAGTGCGACAAGCTTTGATTGCCAATTATTTTTTTTCAAACTGTATTGTTTTTTATGGTAGGTAGGTAGATGCAGATCGAATTTATAAAAGGAGACTCAAGCTTAATAATCAATTTAAATATATTTCAATCAAAATAGATCTGCATCCATTCTAGCTTATCCTTGAATTGCTGTGTAACTAATGTATGTTTTAAATTGTGAATATGTGTAATGTAATCAGAAACTGTACGTTATTTTTATAGCTTAATCCCTAGTTTAGTGTGAGCTCATTTAATTTCTTTTAGCGATTTGTGAAACCCCTCTTTTTCGTTTTTTACTTGCACGTTCATCTTTAAGAACTGCAATGCACAAGAGTCAAAATAAATTTATGTTTTTTTTGTAACGGATTCCTGAACTTTGCACAAGTCAACTGTATTTCTGATTAGTTTTGTGTTTAATAAAAGTGAACAATGGCAAGTAGAAAACACTCATTATATCTCTTCCTAGTTTCTTGTTTACCTTACTTCAATTGTTCAAGTTGACTAAATATATGTGACGTAGAATTAAATGACGGGTCAAATGCCTGCCGACTGATTTTAGATTGCCAGCTAGTAACAGATTTTACAAGTTTATTTATTTGGTCACTTGTATTTAACCTGGTCAAACGGCTAAAATTGATTCAGTGTGAAAATCGGTAATTATTATACTGCAAATGTGTATTCACACGGTAAGTTATTAATCGGTTGATGTCAAATTATAGTTGGCCAGCTTACATAAATCTGAATGTTAATCTAACTACAAGCGGCCCACTAAAAATTAGCTTAAAAAATATCAGTCTGGTTTATTCTTTTGATCGAACAAATTTATATTAGCAGTCTTTATGTGTTAAATACGCATCGTCAAATTTGAAGTTTTCAGCACCATCGATAGGTCGCTTAAGCATCCTGAGAGACAAAAGTTACGACATGTGTTGTGTCAAGCCTATTTGAGAAGACTACAGTGAAGTATGTAGCTTTTTGCCAACCTCTAAACAATATACTATAATTTCATCTT